GAGGAAAGGGAGGGGGAAGGGGAATAGCAAGAATAGGGGAATGTGATAGTCATCATTATACAAAATACATGAAGAAGATTTGAAGTTGATGTCAACATACCTTATATACAAACACAGATATGAAAAATTGTGGTATATATGTGTATTAAGAATTGTAATGCAAAAAAAGAGTACATATATAATGGCATAATTTGGCATGAACATACTTTATATACAGAGTTAAGAAAACTTGTGCTGTAAATGGGTAATAATGAGTATAATACATTCCACTATTGTCATGTATGGAAAAAAAAAAAAAGAACATAGTAAAAGCTAAAGAGAAAAAGAGAGAAAGAGATGAGAGGAAATGAAGTAGAGCCCAGAGCACACAGGACTTTGAAGACCACATAGGAGGTGAGACCAAAAGGCACTGAAGATTTCCAAATACTGGAGTGACATGGGTGACATATTAGTGATACTGGAAGCAGTGGGAAGAACACATTGTAAGTAAAAAAGAATAGTTAGGAGGGAAAAAGAGTTAGGAGGCTAAGGTTGTCAGTCGGGTGACAGTGGAGGACACTTGGAGAAGTGGTTAGCTTCTGGATATATTTCAACAATAGCACTAACAGAATTTGCTGATGGGGAGGCCACGGGTGTGAGGTAGAGGGAAGTCAGGAATGAAGCCTGGTTTATCCGAGGAACTGGAAGAAGGGAGTTAATATTCAGTGAGATATATGGGGCCTGAGAAAGAGAAGATTTGGTGGCCCAGAGGCACAGGTAATGTCATAGCAAAGATTCAAAGGACAGTGCCGAACTGGACCAATTACTTGAGTGACATCAGTCTGTACATGGCATGAAAAGCCATGGGATTCAGTTTTTAATCCTTTCAATTCTGCAATGCTGAAGCATCTGGATGTATAAAGTAGATTAATTTCTAACTTCTAGAAAAGTATAAGTTTAAATTTTAATATATTTACTTATGATTATATACTTCCAAAGGTTAATCATTTTAACCATTTAATTTTCCCATTCATGAATGTCCTTCAAATGATACAGTGTGTCTATATTAACTCATTTTTTTACAACATTGTGTTGGTTCACACTGTAAATCATATAAATTCAACCCTGCATCATATTTGAGAAATACTATGCAACAACACATAATGATACAGTATTCACTCTGTGACAAAAGGCACAGTTTTATAAGAAGATAATGCACATCTGTTGAGCTACTAATACTGGGGGGAAATTAAGACAGACGGATTTTTGCATTTTTAAAATAGTACTTATTTATTTATTTTTGCAGTGCTTGGGGGTTGAATCCAGGGCCTCGTGCATTGGTAGGTATATAAGCGCTCTTCCACTGAAATATACCCACAGCACATTTTTGCATGTTTTAAAATAGCTTAGATATTTTCAGTCCAAACATTGAGTTCAATTAACTGTATCAAAATAATTTTTAAAAATGTTTTTGGTCCTGTTTTATGAAAGAAGTTTCAGTTTGTTCACCAAATCTCATGTATATAAATTCACTCTCTTAACTTTCAGCTT